AGAGGTGGGTGGTGAGGGAGGCGTGGGGTGGAGAGGGAGAGGTGGGGTGGAGAGGAAAGGAGGGGATAAAGAGGGAGGCATGGGGTGGAGAGGGAGAGGTGGGGTGGAGAGGAAAGGAGGGGATAAAGAGGGAGGCATGGGGTGGAGAGGGAGAGGTGTGGGGTGCGGTGGAGACTGGGGGTGGGGCACCGTAACCCGCTCTGCAGGAATGTCACGCAGGCAGGCAGGCACGGCAACATGTAACGGGCGTATACGTGGCCGGCCGTGCGGCATTGTCGCCGTGCGCGCACGGCTGCGCATCGTCGCTACTCGGCCGTGCCGAAATGTTTGCTAAACGCTCGCACTTACAAAGCCTTCCCCGAAAAACTGCGTGTGCGCACACGGTGAAATGCTGACTGCAGGGCATTGCCGCCGCTGCGGCTGCTGCTGTGGTGGTGGAAGCAGGCAGGCGCACATATTGTTGAGTGGCAGTGTTCTGACGCGACACAAGACACACACACACACCTGCACAAACTCACGCAGATGCACGCACGCACAGATGCAAAGGAGAGAATACATACACGGATACACGCACAAACTCGCACACATCATACACATGCACGTATACGCACACACAAACGCACGCACAGATGCAGACGAGAGAATATATACACACATACACGCACACACGCACGCACACACGCACGTACGCACGCACGCACACGCACGCGCGCACACACACAGGCACGCACGAACGCACGCACAAACACATCTCAATACGGCACGATGCCCGTGCCTCTCTCTATTCTCAACATAATCAGCTTACAGCTGGCGTATACGTCACCTCAACTCTCTACTCCTGCCACCACCCTCAGTGCCCCCTCCCCCACGCGGCAAGACGAAACACTCCACCCATCACGAGATTGCTTCGAGAAATCGTCTTTCTCGCAGGAAATCGCACATTCTTCACCGCAGGGCATGTTTTCCCCATCTCGAGGTTATGAAATTCTCGTTTACACGACTCCGCGTGTTAACGTCGCCTGCGAAATTACGCCCAAAGGGGTCGCTGCGGTAGCGAGCGCGCGCACGCAGAGACAGGACAACGAGACAGTTGCTGCCGCTTTCTCACAGTCGTCCATGTGAGTTCCCAGTAGCAGCAGCAGCAGTAGCAGCAGCAGTACTAGCAGCCAGCAGTAGCAGCAGCAGACAGCAGCAGTAGCAGCAGCAGTAGCAGCAGCAGCAGCAGCAGCAGAAGCAGCAGCAGTAGCAGCAGCATCACCACCAGCATCACCACTGCCACCACCACCACCGCCACCACCAGCATCACCACCATCATCATCAGCAGCAGCATCAAGAATAAATATGCACTCAGCGCCGATTCGAAAATATTATTGCAGCGCGCGGTCACCAGTGAAAAAAATACACGGGGGCTCGGGGCGATTTAGCCCGGAAATGCCGAAAAGAGCCCCCGTAAATTTGCATAGAGTTCAAATGACTGCAAACCAAATTTTAGAGTGCTATTTTCATGCACGCGAGCTTGAAAAGTAGCCCCCGAAAAATAAATTGTATTTTTTTCCCCTGGCGGTCACCATATGGAAGCGGCAGCATTGCACTGCAGGCACGACAGAGTGCGGGCCGCAGCAAGTCCGTGTCTACGGAGCTAAGCACGCACGAGCTGGGACGGGGTCGAGCGCTGTCACAAGTGTCACACGCGAATACAGAGAGAGCGACAAGGGGAACGCGTTCACTGCCTCCTACACATCGTCGTTTGAAGAGCCGCTGCCGTAGGCGCAGCCCACGACAGGGAGAGAGAAGGAGAGAGGAGAGAGAGAGAGAGAGGTGAGAGAGGGAGGGAGAAAGAGAGGTGAGAGAGGGAGGGAGAAAGAGAGGTGAGAGAGGGA